AACATGTTGGACAAGCATTCGAACGAAAATTTTATGACATCGTAAAATGATCATTATGATCCAAAAATAGCTTTTCTTAATTATTTTATTATACTGACCATACCGAAATCAATAACTTATCGACTTCGGCCGAATAGACTTCGGCAAATTTTTTAGGGTGTCCCAGAATTTATGAAAACAGCTGTAATCGTCTGTAAAAAAAGCTTGTCGGTAAAATGGGTTCGGTAAAATGCGGTGTCTTCGAAGTGATTGTCGGTGAGTTGAAGGGATCCCGTAGAAAAGGTACCTTAATGACTAATACTGGAAGGTTATTGTTTTTTTTTTGATTTTGGAAAGAAATGACTCAATGAAATTGATAAATGTTAGACATTTTGCCTAAAAGGTTTTTTTTTTTTGAGAAAATAAACCGGATTTCTTTTTAAAGAAAACGGAAATTTTAATAAGAAATAAAATTGTTTATTAAATCAAGAGTAGACGCTCTTATGACGAATTAAATTCCATCATTTACGAAACACTTAAGGATTAAAAAAATTTTAAGAAAAACTAATTGACTTTGATAAAAAAAAATTTGTTCGTTTTTTCCTATTTATTAAACAATTTCATTTAAATCATCATTGTTGCTTTCAATAAGTGCTCTATATTCCGAATCATCTCTTTCATCAGTGTCTAAATCTTCATTGCTTTCTGTTTCAATCTTTTTGTATTCCTTGTCATAAAATATATATTTATTACGTGTATTTGTTATTACTTCTAAAAAGCTTGCATCGAGATAATATTCTTTTAACAAATTTTCTAATATAGCCATTCGATGTTCAATAGTAGCACCAGGAGGTAAATTGCGTGGATCATCAATAAGTGGGATTCCAGCTCTGGAAATATAACAGCTCGCAAAATGACGTTTAAAATTCCGACGAAATGACCCCCAGCACATAAAAGTTTGACACCAACCCTTTTACATAATAGAAATAAATAATTATGAAACTTCTAATGCTTTGCACTAAACAATTTACATACCATGGGGAATGTCTTGGAGACCCCAAAAATAAGGCAATTATTGCTGCTATTGCAGCATATAAACCTCCGATATCTGAAAGCATCGTATTAACTAATAAGTTTTTTAAAAAAATATAAATAAATAAATATTAAAAAAAGTATAATTCGATAAATATTAACATATAGTGACCTTTCAACTTTTCAACTACAAACGGATAATGTGACTTTTTGGTTTCAATATCAGAAGGGTGCTAGAAGAATCTGAAAGTGAAGATGCTTTAACACTGACATCAATGTATGCTCTATTATTATTGGGTATAAACCATAAACTCGGGATTCATAAGATTTTTTAATCATTATAGAAAATTCAAGAATAACTAAATGACCACGAGGTATTGGACTCATATTATGAGAAAAACGAGCCCAGTCAAATCTTGGACATTTAATTTCAACTTCATGAAAAACAATTCCAAAATAATTATAAAAGAATTCATTTGGCGATGATGTACTATTAGATGTTATATTTAAAATAATTTGATCAGGTTCTCTCCAACGTCTATTGTGATAAGAATAGTCTCGTCCGAATTCCCAACCTTGGGTGTGGCAAAGGTTTAATAAATTCATTACATAAAGAAAACTGCGAAAAATTCCATCTGTTTTCATTCCCCCATAAATTTTCATTAACTGTTTTGAATCTTTCATAACATTTTATATCCATAATATTAATAGGCGATCCATAAGCCTAAATTTCCGCGTAATAATCGTCAGTAATTTCAGAAGGTTCAGTAGGAATTATATTAGGATCTATTTCATTAAAAATACATTACAATTAGTTTATACGTGGAGAATATTTCGAATTTGTTACAGTACCTAAATGCCAAATCGTAAAATCTAAGAATAAGCTGTTAGTGAAAATTTTTGTATCTAAAAATTGTTTTATACTAGTTAATACCTGGAAATTCTATTTCTGTAATAGATTCAGTAATAATATTTGAAATATCATTGTTAAAAATCAAAACACGCTGTTAATGCTATTTCAAATATATTGCTTCTTGAATTGGTAATTTCATTAATCTTATGCTCATTATTCTTGGTGTACGTTTGATATTTTATTATCAACTACGGTGCATTTGTAAACAACCCCCAAATTTTGAAAGTTTGACTACGCCGCAATGCCATTTTCAATTAACATAAATATTTTGATTGCATATTTTTAATTTCATGAAAGGTGGATACTCCAATAAGAGTCTCCGAAATTGATCCTGGTAAAATTCTAATTTTTAATAAAAAATGTTCTTTTATATATATTTCTATATCATTTATTTCAATATCGTTTATTTCACTTTAAACATAAAGGTATGGTTGAAACCGAATTCTCAATTGTCAGGTTTGATGGCGATAAATCAAAAGCTAACATGGTTTATGAAGGCATGGTAGGCTATTTTTAAATGGTTTGATTATACATTTTATTTGATTTAATTTTCACTCCTTTTTGATTAAAGACGCCGTTGATTGGTGAAGATATTGTATAAATTCTTAATAAGTATCTATTAATTAATTTGTATTTATACTAATTTTTCTTTAAACTTATTTATGAATAGCTGAAATTGTTGTATTTGTAGCATCTAGACCAATACATGTTAATATTGCAGATGTTACAGTATATCCTGTTAACCAGGTAATTAATCTGATTTCATTTCGTTGGTTTATCATGCTTTATCTCATCGGATCTATCTTAGGCATCCCTCAATTAGTTTATAGGCCATATGCTGAAAAATAAAAGGCTTATGAAAATTCTAATAATCAATTTTTAAAATTGTGGGTCACCTTTAATTATGTATTCTTTAACTAATGAACTAGTTAATATTTTACACGTACCGATATTATAAAGTTTAAATGTAATTTTTATTCGAATTTTATTTGATCTTAAAATAATGCATGTATAAATCCACTTAAATCCTTAAGTTTCTTACTTCTAATCAAATTATTTTCTGTGTTAATAAAAGGTTCTATTGTCTCAAACATATTTAATATAATTTAAGCATTTAACATTAGTTATTTTTATTACACCGAAGTTTAATTTTAAGGGAAATAATTGTGAGACTGAAGTACGGCTAATGACAAAGCCTTTTAGTAGGCTAATATAAACATTATAAAAAGCTTAATTAGAGATACGATTCGTTATCTGTTTTCCTATTTAAATTTACGGATCTCCGTAAATTTAATAGGGAAACAAAAACGAATCGCATCTCTAGCCTTAATTGATGCTATTACAATTATTTAGGAATTTCTTACAGCACAATCAACGAGCTTGATGACAGGCCTTATAAATTTCTATTATAGGCTTAAAAAAATCCTAAAATTTGCTTTACATAAAACTGTAAGATTCCTGCAAAGAACATTATTTATCAATTGAAGAGATTTTTTTTATCAAGAAGTGGTTTTATTATTTTATAACAATTTTCTATATCCCATCATCTTTTCTAACCAAACTTTAAATCTAGCAATCACACCACCACTTTTATTGGAGGAAATTTTGCTATTAATTCCATTAATTGTTTCTCTGATATTCTCTTCAGAAAAAGCATAGCCAAAGATTTGAGAAAAAGAGTCAGGGACTGAATAATCAACACTGTTCGAGAAAAAAATAATTTTTTGAGTCTTCATCGCGGATAACGAGAGTTTTTAAAGTTTTGCGAAGAGTTTTAAAATCGACAGTCATTTCAAAAGAAAAAGTGAAGATAATAATTAATTTGTTTGTAAAAGATATATTAACAAGTTGAGTTATAAATAAATTATAAGGTTAGTTTTTTCTTTGATGAGAATTGGGCAAAGGTGTAGAAAAATTCACCACCGGCATTATTTGTTTACGAATAAATTTTATTTAGAGTAACTACATAACAGCAATTTCTATCATGTGCAATTGCATGCTTTATTAATTTGGTAATGGTAAGTTAATAAGACACAATACTGCACTTATTGAATCGAGTTCTAAAAAATTTACTATTGTTAGACAATTTTAAGTAAGAATCGTGTCATTCATAATCAGTAGGGATGTTAACCAGTTCCGTAGTTACCAGGCGACTTTGACATTTTTAACTAGTATTTGTTCAATAAGTAAAAACTTTTAGAAATTATTATAGAAAAATAACTTTTCTATTCAATAGTTACGTTTTTGATATTATATATTTATTATATTTATTAAAATCAAATGAGTAACTTCGAACTTTGTCAGGTGCTACAAAAGTTCGACGTTATTCTCTTGATTTTAATAAATATATTGCATCAAAAAACGTATCTTCTATAAATCAACGAGTTATATTTACCAAGTTACGGATTAATTCTACCATAATTATTTTGCAAGAATTACTAGAATTCTATTAACACCGCATTACGCGAAATCGTAACTCCTTGAATAAATGAGTTTAATAAATTATTAAAGCAACTCGTGACAAAGTTAATAAGTTAATGCAAATTCTTTATCACACAGCTCCCTATTTGTCTAATAATTTGAAAAGGTATAAATCGAATTTGTACGAACATACCAGTGTTGTCAATTTTTTGTTCTACTAATAAAATTATATTCTATTCTAGTTTCTATTGGTTTAATTTATTGTTCTAATGTTCTATTCAGTTAATGCTACGTACTAATACCAATTAGTGGTTCTATTGATAAAATTTATATTCAATAATGTTGCTAAATGTTCATTCGTCAATTTCTATCAACACTAGTACGTACTGTATGTACATTTGTAATGAATTGAAAATACTAAATTTAGCAATACCAAATATTTTGGAGTGTTACATTACATTTAAAATTCAGATAACATAAAAGTGCATATTTGAGGATTGGTAATTTTAGCGTGTACTTTTTACTTGATTTTACGAGTTTGTTTATACACTTTTTACTATTTCTCGTATTTTGTATCACTAGATAGCTGCGCGACGTCATCGCGCGAAACCAGGAACGGAAGGTCTAGAAAGTGGTTAGATAGAGATATCATCGCCCAAAGTTTAAAAAAATTTAGGCAATTATCAAAACAAAAATAGCAGTTAGGTTCTTCCCAAACTTTGAATGAGGATATCACAGTAACTACCTATCAAAAATCAATGAAAATTTTTTTAATCTTAATTCTATGAATCCATAGAATTAAAATAAAAAAATTTCATCAATTTTTGATAGGTAGTTATCGAGATATCATCGTTAAAGTTAAAATAATTTATGCAATTATCAAACAAAAACCGTGTTAAGTTCATCCCAAACTTTGAGCGATGATATCTCGATAGCTATCTATTCAAAGACAATGAAACTTTTTATTTTAATTCTATAAATTTATAGAGTTAAATAAAAGGATTTGTCAATATATCCGCGTTTAAAATTATCAAAACAAGACCATGATCAAGTTTTTTCCCAACTTTGAGAGATGATACAGTCAACTCTCTCTAAGTGCAACCCCTCTAAATGAAACTTCTCTCTAAATGCAACTTTAACTTCGGGCCCAAGTATATGTTTGGTATACGTTTTGTCTCTATAAATGCAATTTTTCTTAATTGTTCTCTAAATGCAAGTTGCTAAAAGTCCGGTCCCAATAAATTACACTTAGAGAGAGTTGACTGCAATTATTAAGACATCGTCAGCAAATATTAATAAAATCTTGACCTCTGATTTCAACTTGTGTTGCATTTTTTTCGAAACCCTGATCGTATTTAACCTTTTTTTTATTTCGAGTAATATGAAGTGTTACGTATTAAAATAGATATATATAAACAAGTTTACTATACTATAAGTTACCAAAGATAATTAAATAATAAAAAGATTCACAAAACGAAATTGAAGTACATAAATTTTGTATCGTACATATTGGATAAGGCAAAAAAAAAATTTTTAATAGTGTTAAAAGAGTTGACATTGCGAATGTAATTTAATAATATTGATCGAACAATGTGCTGTAATAGTAACTCAATAATTTTTTTATATACTGATCACGCACTAATCATACCGAATCAATAGCTTATCGAATTCGGCTGAATATTAGACTTTGGAAAATTTCTTAGGGTGTCCCAGAATTTATGAAAACAGTTATAAACTATTACTGTATTATACACGTCACTCTGTTATATCGGCATCCGTATATAACAATATCGACACTAAGGTTCTGCGGGCCGAGCTTGTGTTGCCTAACAAAAAGCATAGGCAAGGCAAAGGCATAAAATAAGCATAGGTACAAACACAAAAATTTGGCACGGGTTGGCATGGGCATGGGCACAGAAACAAAAATCTAGCCAATTTTTGCAAGTATAGATGTAAAATGCCAGGCACTAGCGCTAGCTGGCACTTTACCCGTATATGCGCGTAATAACGCGCAGGGTGTAGTTTTGAATTTCGGCCTAAATTAAGCTTAGCTCGGGCCGTGGCTCAAAATAACGCCCCTGCGCGTTAATACGGTAGTGTCCTGGCATCTTGAGCCCGTGCCTTAGTAGTGCCTGGTATTCTGCGTGCCCATAATGTATTTGGCAATTTTGTGTCTGTGAGAACAGGCACGGTACAAGGTACTAGTGTATGGCCTGATGTCCAATATGCCTGGCATGAGCATTTTTTAAATTCTTTAACTTATATAGATATAAAATGTCTGGTTAAACCGACATCTAGGTATGTCGGACAATTTCTTTGTTTTGGAGAATGTCGATATATCAGGGTGATGTCAACGCTAAGAATTATGCTATATGTCAAATATATATATATGTTGTGCGTCAGATTAAAACCTGCGTCAGATTGCAATCAGTTGACCAACATTAAATGATCGGCAATAATTGGCCTAAAAAAGCTCCTAACTTTACCAAAATCTTACCCTAACCCTAATCTAACTTAGGCCGATTACAATCTGACGCAAGTTTTAATCTGACGCACGACATATATATATAAATTAAAGCTATATATTTATATTTACTTTTAGGAATATTTATAAACTAGATGAGAGTCGGGCAGTCCAAAAAGGTCCGAGCATTCAAATGTATAACACTGCCCGTGGGTACTGTTAAGAGCCAGGTTTCTGTATATTTTGGGGATAGATCATATTAAAAGTAGTAAATCGATATAGTTGGTCTGATTCAATTGGCGTTTTTCGTTTGGATACCTTATATGTTTTTATTCGCTTTCACATGAAAAGTGATTGTCTACATTGTGATTACTATTTAATCGAACATTACCCTATGTGTGGCGCTTTAATCCTTCGAACAATCGAGTGGGTTGTTAGGCACCATTATTCTAAATTGCATAATTTCCTAGTTTTCAAAGTAAGCCGTGTAGTCACATCGCATAACTTGTTCTTTTGTTTCGTGTTATTTTGGGTCTTTAGCTGCTAACTTCCGAAAAAAGAATTGTCTGTTACTACATCGGTAGTGATAAACCACGTGATTGCCGAATATAAATCACTTCAAACTTAATTTAAAGAGTCAGCAAAAAAAAAAAAAAGGTAGAAATGCTACCACTGTTGAATAACTATAGCAATCATTTTGGATCGGAAATTTGTAAATTTCATTATCAAACATTCATCATAGTTTATTTTGAAAGCTAACTGAAAATGCAAATGTTCTTTGCTTTAAAATAAACCGAATCTTAATAATTCTTAAAAAATAAATAACAATTATGATTGTATCTATTTAAATTCTAATCAAACAAGTAAATATAAAAAAGACAAAATTATAATAACCAAGCCCTGAATAAATGTTGAATATAAATTATTCTATTCTAAATTATTTGAATAAATATTTCTATGCAATTTTTAGTGATTTGTTTAAATGTCTTTTTCCATAAAACACACCAATAATGCTCAATATTGTTAAAATGCAACCCAATAAAAGTTCAAATATTTGATTGGTTTGTGATGAAACTAAAAATATTCTCATACTGTTTTGACCCCACCTAGATGTTTATATATGTTTATATATATTTTTAGAAAATTATAAATTAGTAATGAAACAAATGAAAAATAAAAACATACACGATTGAACCTTGTAGTAACATATATATAACATAGAAAATTTAACCTCCATAATAGCATATTTTTTGTATTCAGAGGTATGATTATCACAGGTCGAGCATTAAAATGGATTAATGTCATTTGCCAACAACAATTTCCCCGACAACCATTTCACCGACAGCCAATTCTCGACATATCCACTTCCCCGACAACCGACACCCGACAACAACTTCAAAGTGGTTTCAGGGAAGAAAATATGTCGGGGAAGTGGTTGTAGGGAAAATACTGTCGGGAAAATGCAGAATATCGGTCATTTATAAATCGATAGCTCCTATCAGAAATATTGTTTCTGATAGGCCCATCGGATCTTTATTATTCTTATTATCAAAATATCGAATTCGAAATCCTGATGATAAAAATATCTGATTTTTTTCGGCGAATATATCAGAAACAATATTCTTCTGAAAGAGAAAAACGCGCCAAAAACCAGTCAGCTATCAATTTATGAATGTCAGATATCCGCCAATACCTTACAGAAATCTTATATAAATTTTAATGTTTGGCCTGTGTATAGAGAAAATCAGGTTGCACTTACTTGCTTTCAACCCAAGTAGCTTTAATAGGATCTATAACAAAAGCATTTCCATCTTGATTATATTGTATTCCCGTGCCATATGCATCATGGTATCTTGTGACTGTATTTGCACATTTGCCCCCATAACAATATTCGCCATTCTAAAAATAATGTACCGAAATTACATTATTCAATTGACCTTTTATTAAGAATAAAAAGTGACGTAGTTACCTGACAATCTGTTGACACTTTACAAGAATTCAATGAAGAATTAAGACTTAATAAAAAATTATATGCGAACGTCGGTAAAAACCCAGGCTGACCATATTGAAAAACTGATGAATAATGGCCAATTCTCCCAATTCTCCCATTATTGCGTACTAAATGTTACAAATAAAATTTTTAGTTTTTTTTTTTTTTAAAAAAAACGTCTATTCTATCTTATTTATTAACAAGACTCACTCTTAAACAATGCCTGATCGAAAGAACACGAATAATTATACACTAAACAATTTAATAATGTTTGAACTAGTGTACAGTTAACCGATATTGGAATATTATTAGAGTAATTTAATCCTTGTGCCTGAAGCCAAACTGTTTGGGCTGTAACATTTGCAATTGAGCAAATTGATCCAATTATAGAATAATTGGGAACGTTGAAACCATCATCGTATTCACTATTATAATAACTAATAATATCAATTTTTAAAATTCATTAACAATTAGTAACTAATTTAGTCATTATAATTAATCAAAAAAAAAGAAAAAAAAGAATTTAAATACTTGTTTAACTCGCTCTGAAAATCACCCAAAACCACCGCAGCCAAACTTCGATTTTTTTCCAAAAATGCCATAGAACTAGACGGTGGTAACTTAAAATTAGTTCCATTTGCGCTTGCTGCCTGTACAAATGCATTCCCATTATTTATTGTCGCTGATATATTGTTCATCTTATTTATCAAGTCAATATTCAATGTGCTGTTGGAATCCACATGAACGTAAAATCCTGTCGCACCCATGCCAACTTGACTGAGCTCAAATATTGACTCAATATTTGTAAAGTTAATCCGTGTGAAATCAAGATCCTGTTTACACGGAAAACCACAACCACCTTTAAAAGGACACCCTTTTGCTGATCCTTTTACTTGGCAATTAAATTGTGTAATATCTGCTACGAATTTTGAAGATCCAGCAAAACCCCATGCTTCACCATCAAATAAAGTATATAATATATGCTTAGGAAGCTTGTCAAGTGTAACTTGTGACTGCCAATTGACAAAAATTATGAAAATATTGAAGTATAAACAGAAAATATATAAGATAAAAAAATATGCTCACTCGACTTATAGCATCGGCAACAGCTAATACAGCGATTGTGCTTGAAATTCCATTATCCACACCTAAAGTCAACGGATGGAAAAGTGAACGGCTGTCCATTGCGGCTGCAACAACGATAATTGGTTTATTATCATCATTTGAAATGCTATTAGATGGTGTAGAATATACAGACTGTCCACCCACAGGTTGACAAAATTCTAAATTGAATAAATATGAATTAACATATTTGTAATTCTCATATAATATTAAATCTAACATACCACGTCTAAGGCAAGTACTGGCATCTATTGCAGACCACATCAACGAACTAAGTTCTATAGCTTGTAATGGATATTCTTTAAACGAACTCAACATGTTGCTTGCAGCACCCTAATAATTTATTAAATGTTATATAGTCACAATAATTCATTTTATCCCCTACACCGTACCATATCATTGTGACTAATAGTGCGACAAATCACAAGTCACTCATGAAAATTTGCGAGAAATTTACTTATAAAACGGTATAAGAGATAATATAGAAAAAAAGAGCAACAAAAGCAACAAACCTTCATGACTCGATTATAATCACTTGTACTGTTTTGCTCAAATGGATAAAGTGCAAATATCAGGAAATCAAATCTCTGTTGAATTAATCCTCGCCCCTAAAAATATGAGGAAAAAAAATAGTTATCATAAATTCGCAAACAAAATATACTAATATCTTACATTAGGATTCCATTGATGTTGATCATTTTCGTCCCTATATAATCCAAATTGACAGTTTGGACATGTCTCATCTGGTGAAAATTCGGCTGGTCTTGGAGCAACACCTGATGTTCCATTTATTATTGCAATAACTCCACTTAATTTTTGTGATAATTCAAGATCGCGAAGATTTGATCTTGATTTTAATTGTAAAAAAATTTTTTATCAATATTATTAAAAATTACAACCAATTAATTCTATTTTAGATGATAATTTTTGAACGAGCTGAAGTGAATAATATACATATTATTTTTGTTTGTATTCGGAGCTCAGATCAAATTGCTATACCAATAACAAATCATGAATGACGCCGAGTGAAACCAGACTTCGGGCTTTTAAACCTGTAATTTACCGGATTAATCATTGATTGAGTCGGGGTAAATTATAATTTTAAAAGCTCGAAGTATGATTCCCTTGGCGCTACCTCAGTGTTGGCAATTTTTATTGGTCAAACATTTTTGGCCTGCCAAAAACCAGCCAATTCGACCAAATTCATGTTTTTTTGCCCAAATTGGCCAATTTTTTGGCTGAAAAGGCCAAACAAATTTGGTTTGGCCGGTAAAATTAACAACACTGCGCTACCTATATCAAATCATTTGCTAAAAACTTTTGGTTCATGTTCAAAAATAATTGCTCATTAAGAAATCATTTGAAATATGCAAAACCTACATCGTCATCAAATCATAAGGCATAACAACGGTAAATTTGCCATTCAAGTCTTGACTAATAAATTGTTTAATATCATAAGGTGTGTTTACTGGATATAATATTCCAGTTACTGGCTGTAATGCTATATTAGCAGCGTATGATCGTAAGCAATATAGTAAAAATCGGACCAAATCGTAATCGAAAATTAATCATTACATTGACATCCAATGACTCCAGTTGAATTCAACAATCTAACACACGGAAATGGTGATAAATCGTAATAAAATTTAACCCCTTGTGCCTTCACTAAATTCGTAAGATTATTAGCAGTGGAAATCGTAAAGACTGGAAAACAAATAAATGTTTTACATGCCTGAGTTAATTATAGGACCTCGAAAGGTTTCTAAAAAAAGAAATATTACTAAAATAACATTTAGCTCTCTTAAACGAAATCGTCTCATTGGAATTAACAATTGCTATATGTTCGAGAATCTTTTTAAAATCAGCTTTACAAAAATGGTAAAATATTAAATGTATATTGATTGACGTTGATATTTTTGTGTAATGATGCGACGATTTTTATTGGTGAAACAAATCTTTGTGTTGCGTCTAAATATATTAATCTATATTTAGACTTTCTGGTTTATAACGTCTATATATACATACGAGTATTTAACAAATAAAATTTGAAAATGATTTGATGACATTAATAATATAATCAAACTCGTTTCATTAGTAAAATTATGAGTAATTCCAGCCTAATCTTTTTATTGTTACTCTTAGCCAATCAAAATCGAGGATCTGCCGGACCACACAATAGTTGGTTTCTATATTCTCTCGACCATTTATGCATAAACCACTTTTTGTAACCATTTTTGTACTTTGTACTTTGTTAATATCTTACCTGAACTGGTAAAAATAAAAAATAGCGTAATAACTATATCTTTAAACTAATCGTTCTACAACTTTTAAAGGAATTGATTAATTTTTTATATCATTTGATTCCTCTTGGTGGGACGAATCGAATAGTACTAAAATTATTCAATTCTAATCAGTGGATCACAAGATATTGTCAAAAAATATATGTGTACCACAATACCCCCTGTACCATAATACTCATACTTCCCTTATATGTATGTATATAAATAAGATATTGGGCTTTTTAAAATAAAGCTCCCATTATGGCAGTTACTCAGATAGGCAAGTCACGGGGCATAAATTTCTATTTCTGGTAAGTTTGAAATAAAAATAAATTCGGACCTGCAGGTCTGTAATGCAGTAGTTAGCACTCCCAGGTCTCAAACCCACGGAGGGATCTTTCTCTGCAAAAGAACCACGTTTAGGTTATAAGCTGCAGACATAGTCATACGGCATCCAGAAAAGGAAAGGAATCCGACACAAAGAAAGTCATTAATATGAGGAACCCCCGAATTAGGACTACGGCTTAAAAACTGAATAGGAATCAAGGCTTGTAGCACAAAGCTAATAGAAGAAAAAACCTGCTTGTTCTTGTAGGGGGCCCCTTCCGTTTTAAACAGACCCCAAGTAGGCTCAAGTGGTGCAACCGTAAGAGGAAGTACCAGTGAATACGAAAAGTATACAGGAGTAGGCCTGTGCCCCAAAACCAGCTGTGGGAATAGGTTGGACAAGCTGAAAACTGAAAACACAAAGACGAAAAAGGGATAAGTTTGCAGGGAGGAGATGAATGCAGAATCTGTAAGTTCGAGTATGGAATTAGAAAAGTATGAAAGTCGCAAAATAGAAAAAGGTGAATGATGAGGCCGTGTTGAAGGTGGCAAACTGTGGGCCTCAGAACAAGGGCCCTACACCGCGGGATCAGGGACCCGGGCTACTAAGGTAGAGTTACCGAACACATGATATTAAGGGCTGGGGAACACCACTATTGGTGGTGATGTATGTAGTACTTAATATGTAACTTAAATTCACTATAATATGTATAAGACCTTAATAAAAGACGCCATTAGCGTTCCGACTGCTTAGACAGTTTGGAAAAATTAAAAAAAAAAAAATAGATTCAGAAAAAATCATGAATTTGGATATTCAGAATGTGTCACTTATGACCCTTATAAGTGCAACTATAATAAATTAGAATAATAATCATAATGTTTGTACTGTACGTATGTACGTACTTAGTACCTTGATGTAGCTACTAAAAATTTGATCTATTTCGATCATTATAATTATACAATAAAATTCTTTGTACTATTTGAACTAAAGCTACTCTATTATTATGACCAAAGTAATTTATTTGTCAATTCAGAATAACTAGCCATACAAGTATGTCAA